GTTGATGTTAATTGTGTTGTCGTTGATGTTAATTGTGTTGTCGTTGATGTTAATTGTGTTGTCGTTGATGTTAATTGTGTTGTCGTTGATGTTAATTGTGTTGTCGTTGATGTTAATTGTGTTGTCGTTGATGTTAATTGTGTTGTCGTTGATGTTAATTGTGTTGTCGTTGATGTTAATTGTGTTGTCGTTGATGTTAATTGTGTTGTCGTTGATGTTAATTGTGTTGTCGTTGATGTTAATTGTGTTGTCGTTGATGATCCTAATTTTAGCCATGACTCAATTTCAGAACCATGTCTCTCAACCCATTCAAGGTTTTCTTTCGCAGATTCCACTGCCCTTCTCGCTGCTTCTGTGGCTGCACCGAGATCTTCATTATTAACAAACTCTATAAACTGTCAAGAGAGCAAAAGCAAACAAAAATTATTATGATGATATTATCTTATTGTGGATATCACACTTCTTTCTTTTTTTCATCCATCTCATTTAAACTTGGTGGCGTAGAAGAGTAAATACAAATCTTGAACTATCTTTCTGTAAGATATTGTAAATGCGTCATATTGTGATTATATATTATTAAAACATTTATTAAAAACTTTTGCCGTTGATGGCTAAATTATAGCCGAAATTAGTCGTGTAAGTTCCAATGTAATCGAGTACTCGATAGGAACGTTAAATGATGTTTTAATCTTTTAACAATATTATATTTGTGATTGACGGCAAAAGTTTTTAATACATATTTTAATAATATCTTTCTGTAATTTTCACTTTTTTGTTTGCTTCTGATTTATAGTAAGATGCCTCGTCTCGCAAATGTACAAAATACAAGGAATGGCTTCTTTACTGTTCTGGAAAGTAGTTTAAATTACAACGTCATATTTAGTTGGAGGTTTGTGAATCCAAGCTCCACTCCTCTGACACACTAGCAAACACGAAGTAGTTTTGATTACAAAATTTAATTTTTTAAAAAAAAGGAAACTTTATTTATAAATCTGTATAGTTAAATGTTGTACTATTAACTTATTCTCCCTCATAAAACCCCCAGCTGAGTATCAAATTGTTTTTAAACAAAAAAGTAATGTGAACCAACTTTATTACACTATTTAGGATTTGTGGTTTTCACGGCAGAGTCTGAAGATTGCTGTCGTCTGGGTCGTTGCGCCGTGTAGTCTGGTAGATGTCCACCAACGTTTCAGTCATGCTGCCTCCGACATCAGGGCGATGAATTCATCGCCCTGATGACGGAGGCAGCAAGGATCTCTGAAGCGTTGGTATACGTCTACCAGACTACACGCTGCAACGACCCAGAAGACAGCAATCTTATTACACTATATTTGTGGGACTTACTGTAACATTACCACAAGACAGAAGAACACACTGGTTATATACATATATTTCAGGATAGAAGAAATATACTGACCTTATCCAACTGTTCTTGTGTGGTTATCCGGGATGCTATTCCTGTAACAATGCTTGAAACACCTGTCCCATAACTGTAAAAATAGGAAACATTTCATTGTCACACATTACTCATCATCAATGAGCTTTTCTGATGATAGTCATGAACAATCATGTTTAATAACAGGAAAATTCCTTGTTTAGCTGAGTCACCTACCAGTTGTTCAAAACATCTGCGTATAAGTGAGTCCGTTGTCACCATGGCATGGTGCAACCTTAGGTTTTGGATGGAGGTAAAGACGTACTGAGACGTATATATTTAAATGAGAAACCATGGACAGGTGATGAGAGTGGCTTCCAGCTTTGCGGTTGCTGACAACTCCTCATCATAAAAGTATATCATGCTATGAAATGTTACACGGTGACTTAGATGAATTCTTTGGAATGACCCCAAGGAACAGAAAATGGACATGAGATTTGCAACTTCAAATGTCAGGAGTGAGTCAGATTCATTGAAAATAGTAGCAAGAGAATTAGCAATGAAAATCTTAAAAATTATTTTTACAGCTCATATATTGCTGATAGGTTTTGTACAGCTTTGTCATTCTTCAATACAGTCCCTGTTGCATTGAATGCATGTCCTACGGCACTTCACTAATGCCTGGACTGCTCTTGGGAGAAAAAAAGGAATCATGTGTCCAAATGCATAGCCACTCATGCACTGTCTCTTGTACTTTCCACCAGTCGCCTCCTTGAGGAGCCCAAAGATATGGCAGTGATAAGGAGTGAGGTCAGACCAGTATTGAGGATGAGGGAGGCACTCAAAACGCAAGTCCTCGATGGTCACACAGGCAGTACGGGGTCGAGTATTGTCATGCTCCAGCAAGACAGCAGTCTGTGATGCTTTGATGTTATGGCTGGTGTAAAAAGATTCCTAAGGAGGTCACAATATGTGACAATGGTGACTGTGGTCCCCTAGGACACGTAGTACTCTACAAGTGGGCCTCGGTGGTCCCAGAACAGCATCAGCAACACTTTTCCCGCAAGTGCCCGTGTGTGGAATTTTATGGGTTTTGGTGAGGTGGAACAACATAATTCTTTGTTTCCGGATAGAAATGTTGGACCCAGCTTTCATCGCCAGTCACTATGTGCTGCAGGAAGCCACCATTGGCTGGTGTCCAACCATCTTACCTTCAGTTCAAGAGTCAGTTGTCTAGGCACCCACCTGGCAGACACTTTATGAAACTGTAGCGTTGTGGATGATATGGTGAGTTGAACACGTATTAGTAAATGTACTTGAACCAGGAAGTGAACTGCTAAGTAACCAGTGAAGGAATTCGCTGTATGCATTAGCAGGTTCAGAGCTATAGACTACAAGGAATGTAGCGGGGCAGAAACAATGATGAACACTGCAAATGAAATGCCAAGAGAGTGGAAGAAGAAATGCACAAAGAACAGACTTGGAGGACAGGCCCTAAACTTGATATCAGACCACCTTCACTGCCAG